AGTTTTAGGGATGTCAAAATTTTCTTTGCATTCTTCTGAAGATTCCGCTATGAAAAGAGAGGAGCTGTGGATATTCCAAAGGGAAGGACACCAAACTCATACAAAGTCCCTTGAAAGGAGAAACGTAAAAATTTTTTGTGTTCAGGGTGAATTGGAATTAAAGAATAAGCATCTTCGAGATCTAAAGAGGCCAGGAAGCAATTAGGGGTCAAGAGACGAATAACTGTTTTCCAGTCCTCCATTTTAAAATGTGGAGGATTTAAATGCTCATTTAATTTTTTTAAATTCAAAATAAAGCGTTTATCCCCGTTTGGCTTGTCTACCAGAAAAAAAGAAGACAAAAATTGTCCCCGACAGGGCTTGACTCTTGAAATGGCTCCTTTATCTAGTAGTTTAGAAATCTGCTGGGAAATGGCTGTTTCTTCGGCTACTGAGAGCTGTGGTTCCCAGGTTGAAGTACCAGAGGGTTTAGAGATAAATGGAATTTTATAACCATTAATTGTGTCAAGAATATGTGGGTCAGATGTGATTTTTTGCCATTTGGACAGGAAAAATTGTAAACGACCAGCTTTACAAACCTCTAATTCCGGGTTGTCCTGGTTGAGTGGTGTTTCTTGTAGTTTGAGTATGTCCGAGCTCTGTGTGCCCCAGGTCCTTGGTTTGACTTCGTCAAATGCTTTGGTAGAGCTGGGGCCTTGGAGTTTAAATCCCTGGAGAAGGGTTTACGAGCTGGGTATGAAGGTTTTGTTGCTGGTTTTCCCTGGGGTTTTTTCAACATTTCATTGGCAGCTTTTTCCGATTCCTTGGCTTTCTTCCACTTTTCGGTAAAGTCTATTCCAAGCAAAAACTCATCTGACACGGCTTCTAATATCAGATTTTTTGCAACTGGTGTGACCTGGGCCTGGGCCAGGGTACGTTTTCTCGCCGATGACATTCCATAAAATATGTCACATGATATGTGGGCAGCTTCACTGATATAATTTATTAAATTGTCTATTGGTAAAACAGTTGTTTCTGGATCATCCCGAACTGCCAGAAGCTCGGTTAGGGTTTTTCCCAGGATAGTAACCAAAGTTGTTGCTCCGGTATGAGAGGCCCGCAGTACAGCATCCTTGGTTTTGTTGTTTGTTGCCAACAGAGGCTCAACCTCGGTGTTGAGCTTTGGAGCAACCAATACATTGAAATTCTCCGGACGAGGGTGCCTCTTCCGGAGTTCCTCCCTCTTTTCCTTTGACAAGCCATTTTGCAGGATCCTCCTCCATCTCTCCACCAAAAAAGGATGTAAAGGTTTTCCTATTTGGATCTCCTCGGTGGACTCTCCCAAGAGGGCCAATAAGTCAGGGGTGATATCTGCTGTTGCAGATGCACCAGTGTCTTTTTCTGCTGTTGCAGATGCACTGGTCTCCCTTTCAGACACTTCCTCGCTCCTTCGTGTGACTGAGCAAGATTTGGTAGAGGTTGTGTTGGATCGGGAACGTCTATGTCGTCTGTGATGCCTGGAAGCGCTCCGCCGATGTGTAGACTGACTGGTACGGCTTCTGGAGCGACTACGTCGATGGTATCTGCTTTGGCGGTCTCTGGAACGGCTATAACGTCTTCTGGAGCTACTGTGATGGTCTCTCGAAGAGCTTCGATGTTTCTTGGGGCTGCTGTCTCTGGAACGGCTTCGTAGATGTCTTGACGTCCGAGAAGAATCTGAGCGACGAGAGGAGCGGCTCCGTAGTGAAGGAGATTGTACGTTCTCCTTGTTTTCGGTTGTAGAAGCATGCTTAACCCTCAAAAGTTGATTGAGGTTAACTTGTTGTTTATTAAATTGCTCCTGCAATCTTTTGAATTGCTCGGCCAGGTCCAGCTCTTGTGGCGAAGTATTCCCCGATGTCGGGGGGTCGCTTTTTTGCATGTTTTATTGATATTGAAAAAGGATTTATTCTAAAAACGAACAAAATTATTTACTTTTGTGGTCAAAACCGCACAACAAAGCGTAAATGACATTTGGGCGCGAATCAGGTGACCAATAGGGTGTTGGTCGGAAGCGCGCCAATTTTGAATTTTAATTTCTATGCTTTAAAATAGTTGTGGTTGAAACCGAGCAGCTGGCGCTACTACAAGTGTATAATTGATCTAGAGGACGAGACCCTGAAGTATAACTGGGCAAAAACATTATTAAACACAAAACTGCTTTTCGCAAGCGTATATGCGTTTTTATAATAATTATTATAACATCCCAGATTAGGTCGTAAGTCGTCCACGACTATAAAAAGAACATTGGGCTTTTTTAAAACCACTTTTTGCGCAAAAAATAGCAAGAATAATAGCTTTGTTCGCGGAGCTCATCCGTGATCAATCCGTGACAACTGCGCATGCGCACTGGCAATTTTAGCGTTCGCGGTGTAAAAATCTGCAACATTTGACATTTGATCACTCGTTCGCGGAGCCTTCGGGACCAGTTTCGAACTAGGTAATTACTGACAAGTCAAAACGATCCGAGGATTTTAGCATGTACTAGCTGTCAGACATGCGTATTGTTCATTATTGTTTAAAGTTTATTTTAGGTTATATGTTCTATATTGTTTTTAATTAAATTGTTAAACGAAAACGTAAGTTGAAATACTTATTTTTTACTTGCATTGTTCATTTCCTTGCTTATTTTATAGATGAGTGATCATCTATCATCCTGTGATGAAGATTTAGAAAATAGTTTAGATTTAATTGAAGTTCCTAAAAATACTGCATATTTTGAAGAAATTGTTCCCATGTTCGATGATCAGCTATTTAGGGAGCATTTTCGAGTTAGCAAAGAGATTGTTGATGATTTAGCAGAGCGATTTAGCAATTCTGAATACTATAATTATCAGGAAGGAGATTCCCCAAAAAGTTTTGTCACAAAACAGCTGACTGATGGTTGCAGTTAGCAACGCGTTCGCGGAGATTTGTTAATTCTTGTTCGGTTCGAATCGCGCATGCGTACCATGGTTCGTGATTATTTATAAATAATCACGAACCATGGTATACCCTATAATCACGAACCATGGTATACCCTATACAGATACGGAACTAGTCATGGATGGGCTCCGCGAACAAAGCTAATAACTTATACGAAAACATAAGTCATGACAGTGCACTGCGGTTTTAATACTTTATCAGCTGTTGTTTGTTTTTCTTATTATTGATATTCTCTTCAGATATCGTACCGTTGTAAACACGCTTATTATGCATTAAAGTTATTAAAACAAACTTTATATTATGAATTTAATTATGTGTTTTAACTACATTTTAATTGATTTAAACATTTCAGGGTTATGCAAAGTTAATAAATACGCTGTGTCTAGTCTCACGCTAGCGTGAACGCAATTTAATTTTTATTCTCACGCTAAAGTCAAAATAATTTTAATTTTATTCTCACGCATTATTTTAGGTATTTAATTTTACTTTTTAGGTGTCGTGTCATTTGATTTGATTATTATTTGATTATATGATTTGATTTGATTATGCAAATGTAATAAAATTTACTAATAATAAAATCGAGACTCTTTTACTGCAGCCAAACCAACCCAAACTCAACAACACAACCCAACCGACCCCGCCCCATTGGCCCCCCCCGCCCCATTGAGCAAAAAACCCAACTAAAATGGGCAAATTTATGTTACGATAAAAATAAAACACTTTAACAAAGGAACAACAAATTTATGAAATAAAAAAAGTTCGACAACTTCTGGTAGATTTTATGTTACGATAAAACTAAAACAAATTAACAAACCCAACTTAACCGAACACTATTTAACAAAGAAACAACAAATTTATGAAATAAAAAAATAAAAAAAGCTCTTGGAATCGAACCCGGGACCTCTCACATGCCAAGCGCACGCCCTACCATCGGAGCCATCTAGCTTGTTGATAAATAATAAATGTTCTGGGAACAAAAACGGATTATAATTAGTGACGTCACCGCGTGAGAATAAGAATAAAATTGCGTTCACGCTAGCGTGAGACTAGACACAATCTAATAAATAACGGTAGTATCATGGGCCACATTTAATTTTCGGCCGGGTTAACCCGATTGGGTTGGTTTGTATTTTTGGCCGAGTAGCAAGAAAAATAGTATACACTACACGGGCAGAAAGTGTGAGAGCCCTGAACTGTGCGCCATGATTCATGGCGCACAGTTCAGGGCTCTCACACTTTCTGCCCGTGTAGTGTATACTATTTTTCTTGCTACTCGGCCAAAAATACAAACCAACCCAATCGGGTTAACCCGGCCGAAAATTAAATGTGTATATCGAAACATAGGTAGGTATATGTTTCGATATACACATTTAATTTTCGGCCGGGCAGGCATCAATATATTGATGCCTGCCCCGACATTTGCGGCACGAGCGAAGCCTTCGTAGCCCTTGTAGTGTAATATACTCGAAAATACCTTGTTTCGTCCCCGATTCCAATGCATCATTGATGCAGCATCAAACGTATATTTGAGTCAAATTATTTGACCAATGCATCAAACGTAAGCTTTCTGCCGTGGAATCGGGGACGAAACAACGTATTTTCGGCCGAGGTAGTAAGAAAATAACGTTTGCTATACAAATCATCATTGCGTGTTTTCTAATGAGGTGGCTGAGAAGTTAATTAAATTTTATTGGTTCAAATATACTTTGTTACTGACAGATTTAAAAATTAACCAATACGAAGCTAGCATTGCTTTTATGGCGACAAATTTGATTTTATGGGTGTTTGTTTTGATTTTAGTGGATTCCGAAAGTAATTTCAAGTTAAAAAAACATATTTCGACGCCAGGATCGATTTGCGAGGAGGAAATAACATATCAGTGCCCGGCGATTTTTTCCGGTTTTTGTGAAAGAGAAGTGGCGTTCCAAAGAAGTGCAATTATGTTTAATTTAAAGAGAAAATTTGTGAAATAATAAAGATATTTTTAAGTTAATTGTATTTTGTTTACACCGATACTTAATATAACAATTAAGCAAATAATCTTGTCGTGTTTCAAGGACAAATAAAAAATAAAATCACACATTTTTTGCTGATACTTTAAGGCGTGTCGCGGTATACAATACAAATCAAATCTATAAACTGTTTATTAAACATGTCAGAGCTACATTTAGGAAAAGGTAAAATTAACGTAATTTTAACATTAAAATCACTTCAGTTGTATTATTTTAAGGTTCAACTCAACCGGCAAAAGTCGAGGGACTCCTCAGACTGTACTCAATGAAATTTTGCCCTTTTGCTCAAAGAGCTCGTTTGGTTTTGAAAGCAAAAGGCATCGACCATGATATTGTTAATATAAATTTAACCGATAAACCAGAATGGTATACAAACATACATCCTGAAGGTAAGATATTCTTGTTTTGATTTGACAAATGATTTACATAACCTCAAACCAAAAAATTTGACAATACGAGGGACATTTCATAGGTTTCTCTGATATTTATTAACTTGACAGAATACAAAAGGTGCTTTCCTTTCATTTTTGAAGTGAGCCAAGCAAAAGTGAGATAAGCGAGGCCACTTACGCGCACTCATCTTACCTAAAATAGACTAAAGGAACGGTTGGTAAGCCTATTTTCTCTAAAAGTGACACTTGTTAAACCTTAAGCCTGAATTATAGATTGCCTTCCTTCCTTCCTCCCGTAGTCGTGCCCGTACGGTACGGGAATCTATAACTGGCAATACGATTTAAATAAACATTTTTGACGTAATTGTCACCATTAACATTGCCCGTTATTAATTTTTATTAAACTTAACAATTATTGATAATTTAAAATATTAAAATTACTTAAAAATATGATTTTGTTAAGAAAATATTTTATTCTTTGATTTTTTTTATTACTATAATTGCAAAATTTTATCACAAAGTATTAAAAATACCTAAACGGGAAATGTTAATGGTGACAATTACGTAATGTTCATCTTCTACGGGAGGAAGAAAGGAAGGAAGGAAGGAAATCTATAATTCAGGCTTTATGTTCTGTGGTTTAACCATTTCCCTCAACGGTTTAACGCAAAGATTAAAGACTTAACGAACAAAATGTCGAATCAAATAATACAGGTAGTTAAAAATATAAATCCAATTTAAACAATAATAAATACCTTTTTTTTATTCTTTAATTTCATAGAATGTAGTGAATGTAATATTCTGAAAATACTAGTTTAATCGTATCGTATCATCGTAATCGTAAATTACTATTTAAATAGTCATACCTACAATTGTAGGTATTCTAGTCGCCGAATGAATCATTCAATTTGAAATCCGATTGAAAATATGCGATTAATAATCGCGGATTACTTAATTCGAAAATAAACGGCGATTATTAATCGCATACTTTCATTCGAATTATCAATTCGATTAAATTATTCCGATATTGAAATCCGAATGAAAGTATGCGATTTATAATCGCCGATTATTTAATCGAATTATCATCCGATTATTGAAATAATCGTATCGGATATAATCGGTTATTGATATAATCCGATTATGCCCATCACTAATATTGTTTTAATTTTCTTCTGTTTTGTTTGATAGAAAGTGTACAACCTCACTTTTTGGCGTGCATCTATCCCCACCACCAAGTAATCAAAATTTCTCATTTGTAAGTGTGCTCCGGAGGTTGTGCTTGATCGGTAAGGGGGGAGGTAAAATTCTCACTTTGGCTTACCTGTCATTTTGCAAATGGAACGGTCTCTAAAGTGAGATAAACCAAGGTGAGGTAAGAATATCTAAGAATCGTGGCAAAAGGAAAGCACCTAAAGTGAGGTTTTTTACTTGTCAAATAAATGACCTGTAAGTCAGATTTTTTAGCTTGTTTAAAAAATCAAATAAAAAATTTCATTCATAATTGACTTAAAAATCCTTGAATTCCTAGGCAAAGTACCAGCATTAGATATCGGTACCAAAGTAGTAGTCGAAAGTACCGACATCTGTGATTATTTGGACGAAACATATCCCCAGGTACCGTTGTATTCATCGGACCCGGAAGTCAAAAAACAAGAGAAAGAATTAATAAAAAAAATTGGTGATGTTGTGGGCGTATTCTCGAAATGTGTCTTCGGAACGGAAACCAAAACCCCAGAAGAATGGCTAAAAGACATCCTAGATGCTCTGGATGTGTTCGAGAAGGACTTAACCAAAAAAGGCACGGTATTCTTCGGTGGCGACTCGCCCAACATGGTAAGCTCATAACCTCAACTGTTTGACAGGTTGACGTTGCAACGTTGCCGCTTTTAGGTGGACTACATGCTGTGGCCTTGGGGCGAAAGGGCGGCCTGCGTTGCCGTTGTTCTCAAAGAAAAGTTGCCGATCAAGGACGATGACATTCCGAATTTGAGAAAATGGCGCAAAGAGATGCGCAAACAGCCTGTCTGCGACGCTGTTTATAATGGCCCCGAGAAGTTTTGGAAATGCGTCGAGGCCAAGCTTAAAGGAGAAAAAATCGATTACGACAGTGTTTAGAGTTTATTTATACAGGGTGGATCCGAAAATAAACTTTTTAAAGGTCATTTTTGGGTCTACCTCCACTAGGTCCAACATTGGCGCTTTAATAAAACGTACTTGAGAAATTATTATTTTTTTATTTTTACATTTTTATATATCAAATCTCATCATACATTGAATTTTTAACACCATTTGGTCAACATAGGAAACTCATTGTAAAGCCTGATTTATAGATTGCCTTCCTTCCTTCCTCCCTTCCTCACGTAAAGGATGAACAATACAAAAACCGTTGTTCTGTTTATAGATTCTATAAATGGCACTACGATTTTCATATTGTAAATCAGGCTTAAGGCATGTATGGAAATATTGGAACTTTAATTTTACAATTCCAGCAATAAAATAAAATTCTATTGCAATACATTTTTAGATTTACTAATGTTATTGGTTGTAAAAACAGCTACGTAAACTGATTCGAAATTCGAATTAGCATTTTGTAAGAAGGTGGCTTTGGATCTTTGTTAATGACAGGCGCTAAAACGTAACCAATAGGAAGTTATGGCGGTAAACTTGATTTTATAGGTGTTTTTTTTTTAAACTTCAGTGGATCCCAGGGGTAATTTCAAGTTAAAACAACTATTTCCACGACAAGGGAACCCACTGAGAAGAGGCAAAAAAATTAAATATATTATTTTTATGAAAAATAAAAAAAAAATTAAATTTATGTTTGAAACGATTCTAAATCGAAAGTAAAGCTAAATATTAAACATTCATAATTTTATAATTTACATTTAAATTATAAAAGTTACTTCAAGAAATAAATAAAAACGATTTCGTAAGTTAATTTGAAAGTAGGGGGCACGGGCATGCGCACTGAGCATTATGCCTCATATCTATGCGCGCATATTCTACGGCGTAGAATCTACGCATACGCAAATATTATTTTGCTTTGATTCAGCGATCCGAACGTGTGGTAAAATTCATGAGAAAAACACAAGCTCATATCAAAAAAACACTGCAACAAAACTACAGCTCATTTTTTTTTTATCTGGGCTCGTGTTTTTTTTGTTAGGTTGGTGGCTTATGCCAGTTTGACTTAGTATTTTTAGTATTTAAAAATGGTACTTCTGCTAAAGAATTTAATTAAATACTTTGACACTGTCAAATTGACAATAATATTTATTATTGATAATTGACCATATGCAAGGAATGCGGTCGATGTTGCCAATGGTAAAAAAATAAAATTCCCTATTGGGAACATTCAATTATATTACGTTGGCTACACTGAAATTTTGAATTTCCCGCACAAACTGACATACATTCTAGTAGTTCCCAGAGATAAAGAAGGTAGTTTCAATGTTGTATAATAAATTAAGGTGCGAATTTCAAATGTGGAAATTATTATTATTTATTATTATTAAAAAAAAAGATGGAAATTAATTTAGTTTGTGCGGGAAATTCAATTTTCAATGTAGCCAACGTAATATAATTGAATGTTCCCAATAGGGAATTTTATTTTTTTACCATTGGCAACATCGACCGCATTCCTTGAATATGGTCAATTTACTTGTGAATTATAAATAAAAAGATAATTATATAATAATAATAGCAACGAATTCGAATGTAAAAGCCCTTTTGAGGGCAAAATTTAATTTTGATGAAATTATGCCAAATTCCACAATGGAAGAAAACGTACATCGCCTTATGGACATTTTTGGAGTAAAAAGTAACGAATTTGGTTTTATAAATATTACATCACACATTATTTTCACATTATTCTCCATTGGTCAACATTTACGTTCACAAAAAATTTTAATTTCTTTTATATAAATTCTTTTCAAAGCGAAGAATATTATCCGCTAGGAATACTTTCTCTTCTGGGCCGTAAAGCAACCTATATTTAACTACTTTTTTTATATGATTTTACTCATCCAACTGCACAATGTAACCCAAAATAATTTATACATAACCACAACTAGCTATGCGACCAACTTGACAACTGTATTTACCAACAAAACCCTAAATTTGCAACGTTGCCGCAGTCCAGATAAAAAAAGAACTTGTGTAGTTTTTAATTCCTTAACAAACTTTTTTAGGTGGCCGGTTTCACTCGTTTTGACTCATGAATTTGTTGTTATATTCTTTTCTTGTGTTAACATGTCAGAGCTACATTTAGGAAAAGGTAATATTAAAGTAATTTTAACCTTAAAGTTGGTGCAATTTTAATATTTCTAGGATCGAATCAACCGGAAAAAATCGAGGGACTCCTCAGATTGTACTCGAGTAAATTTTGCCCTTCTTCGCAAACCGTCCGATTGGTTTTAATAGCAAAACGCATCGAACATGATATTGTTAATATAAATTTAAAAGATAAACCAGATTGGTATACAAACGTACATCCTGAAGGTAAGATAAATTAAAAACAAACAACCAATCCAATCACTTTGACAGAATACAAAAGTGAGGTTATTTTCTTCTCAAACTAATGCATGACGTGGTTGTCAGATTTATTTCAGCTTTCATTTAGGTATAAATAGGTACATATATTAAATATATAAATTCTTCAATTTTTAGGCAAAGTACCTGCTTTAGATACTGGTTCGAAAATACTTCTGAAAAGTGGCGACATCTGTGATTATTTGGACAAAACATTTCAAGAAGTACCGTTGTACTGTTCCAACCCAGAAATCAAGAAACAGGAAAAAGAATTAATTCATAAAATTGGAGCTGTATTTTCAGAATGTACCTTCGGACCGGAAGAAATCCTCGAGGCTCTGGATGTTTTTGAGAAGGAATTGGCCCATAGAGGCACGACATTCTTCGGTGGCGACTCGCCTAACATGGTAATTAAAATTAAAAAACTACTTATGTGCTTAAGCAAATAAGTAGTTTTTTCGCGTAAATACTATGTAATACTACGGTTAAATAAGTCATGACGTCACAGTTAATTCATATAACCATGGTTTTGACATTTGTTTACTTGTTCTTAACCTATAATTTTTGAAATTTGTTTTTACCTATTTATATTTTATTTCTATGCTTTTACCGGTGTAAATAAATTTCTTTGCCTCTTCTTATACCTAGTATATTCTTTTTCTATAGGTACTAGTTTTTTCAATACACGTTATCCAATTCTCCTACATGTTTAATACAAAATAAGGAAGAATATAAAACAAACCTGCATATAATTCCTCCACTTGTGGAGATTCCACAATATGGAGCACCCTATAATTTATTTTTACTGACAACACCCCGTTTACCATTTTAATACAAAGTTTAAATTCGGTTTAAGAGCAATTGTACCTACTTAAAATATTTTAAATTTCAAATGTAAACAACTTTTTGACAGATCGAAACAGAAAAATATATATTAAAACGAGAAAGACTATTAACCACGTTGAATAACTAGCTCAGCGTTTTATGGTCTGGTATTTGTGACGTCATAGTTAGGATTTTTGAACGCACTCTAAACGCAAAAATGCCTTAACTATTAACCAAGGTTAAGTTTAATAACCATAGTATTTCATGGTATTTACGCGAAAAAACGACTATAACCTCAACTATTTGACAGCTGTCAGCCAGGGCTGGGTGCTCCCGTGTACGAGTTTTGGTTCGTGCCGCGCATGACGTCACTCGATGAGTAGTTTCCGCGCAAATTCACGACTAATAGTAATCAGTGGCGGCCCGTGACATTTCATTTTGGTGAGGGTTGCCAGATTCTGTCAAAAAAATAAAGGACATTTTGTGACAATTTACCTTAATTACAAAAATGACACAATCAACAATACTTAGGTAACGTCAAATTCACAATATCAATATTAATTTGTAATTAAGGTAAATTCTCACAAAATGTACTTTAGTTTTTTGACAGATTCTGTCAACCCTAGGTGAGGCAGAGGCAGGGTTTCGCCCTCATTTAAAGGCGAAGAGATTTTTTTAAACCCAACTTAAAAAAACTGACGTCGCATTTCACAACCTATACTTTAAAACTATACTTATAAGTAAAAAACTTAGACTGTGTTGGGGAAGGAATCCTCTACTTTGTCAATGAAATATATTGTAAAAATGACGTTTATTTTAAATAAACCTCATTTTTGTCTTAGACTTAGACTGTGGTGGGGAAGGAATCCTCTACTTTGTCAATGAAATATATTGTAAAAATGACGTTTATTTTAAATAAACCTCATTTTTGTCTAATTAATATTTCATTGTTCAGCAAGAACCACGTGAAGGTGTAGGGGTAAAGTGCAGCATTATTAATATAACGATTAGGTTTAAATTAATAATAATACACCATCTTGCCAGGAAAAAGGGAAACTGGGAAGCGGAACTGAAGGGAAGTAAGGGGAACTGGAGAGAAAAAAGGGATAAATGAGTTGTGTATAACTAAAAACTTAATTCTCGAGAAAGGATCCTTATAAAAATGGGAACAGTGCGAAACAATCAACAAAATAAATATAACTCTTATAAATAACCAATAAAATAAATATTACTGTTATAAATAACCAACAAAATAAATATAACTCTTATAAAAAAAAAAAAAAATTATAAATAAATAAACATGTTTCTAAATGAATCTGTTTTCTTCAAACAGTGCGAAACAATCAACAAAATAAATATAACTCTTATAAATAACCAATAAAATAAATATTACTGTTATAAATAACCAACAAAATAAATATAACTCTTATAAAAAAAAAAAAAAATTATAAATAAATAAACATGTTTCTAAATGAATCTGTTTTCTTCAAAATTAAATAGAAATCTTACAAATTCACACATAAAAATCACCGTAATATCCATAATAACTAAATTCACATAAATCACCAAGTTCAATGAACTAAACCCACAGAATAAACCACTTAAAAAGGAATCATAAAATAGACAAACTCATAGAAAAATAATAAACAAAATATTGCGTAAATAACCACAGATTTGTTCTTTAAACAGTTCAGAATTTTATAACCAAAACAAACCTAAAGAAGGAATCTGTATTTATTTTATTGGTTACTGTTATGGCTACAAGATGGCGATAGTGTTAAAATATGTTTATTTTAGAATAGAAAATAATTTCGATTAAATCGATTTATTATAAGAAAAATAATAGCATTTATTATTGAATGTTGAAAAACGTGTGAAGTATAATTTATCTAAAATTCCGCAACAGTGTTGCCACAACACCTGCTGATTTCCTTGGATGTAGGCGTGCCTGCCTCACGTATGCTAATACGAGAGAAGGAGACAACTATGATATCGCATCGTAATAGAACGAGACAACAAGGCTAACGCCAATCGTGAGTCTAAATTAGTTCAGGCATGCTTCTGAGCCAATCATCTAGCTATAAATATTAGTTTATATTGCGGTCGTTTCAAATTCAAATAATTTAAATGTTGCTGGGTATTCCACGTATAAAATCAATCAATTTTATTGACCATTTCACAATTCATGTAATCCAAATATTAAAAATTTATAGTATATGATAGAAAGTAAAATATTTAAATTATATGATGAGGCACTGCCTCACCTGCCTCCCCTGACGGGCCGCCACTGGTTAACACCCAACAGCATCGCAAAAACAAGAATTTTAGCAGCAGATAATTAAAACGCACGTTATAGGTTAGTTCGAGTTATACAATTCTGATACTCAACGAGTGACGTCACTTAAATACGTACGTATTTAAGCCCCGCCCAACATGCGCACCATATTATCATTGACTATTACCGTGTAAAGTAGAAACCACGAATATATGAACGTGACTCATCAGGCACAATCGTACGAAGTAATCTATCGAAGGTCACGGTCCAGTGCAGTGCTGTTCTAACGGGTGGCATAAATATTTGTAAAAAATCTTAAGTGTAATGTTGGTTGCTATACTTCTGATATATTTGCTTTTAAAGTTAAATTTAATAATTAAATAAGATGTAATTTTCTTAGAAACTAATTAATAAATAAACTTTTCTTTTAACTTTAAACGCAAATATTTCAGAATTGGTGACAAAAAACAAAAATGTTTACGCAGGTCAGGTACAAAGTGAAAGATAATTAAATTTTGTGGATATAAAAACAACTTGCGTTAGTTTCACGAAATTTATTAAATATTGATAATTGTTTCGCTACACAGTAGCTTCTTCAGAATGTATTAAACTAATACTAGTACAAAATTTATATAATAAAAATATTTTTGTATTCTAGCCTAGAATTTCTAGGTAAGGATTTTTATACGACATCTACCTGTGTTACATAATATAAACCACAGCAACTACCACGTTTAAAACGATTATTAATCCGTAAACACACACCGTTTCTTTAAAGTCCAAAAAACGTACAATAACAATTGCAATAAGTCCAATAAACATGCAATAACAATTGCAATAAAAACCACTAGCACTACAACGTTTAAAACGATTATTAATCCGTAAACACACAGCAGAAACACGATATGCAAAAACAAAGATCATATGACATATAAAAACAAATGGCCGACGGTAGAGTTGGTTGCCTTACTAGTAATTCACTAAACGCAAAATTAACGTTAAGTAGTGCCTAAGTATCACTCATAATTAACTCAAAATTAACGTTGATTTTGGGTTAAAATCTCGTTTCTTAGCGCAAATTCGACGTAATTATTTGCAGTTTTGTGCCGATTTAGGATTTTGTGTTAAGTTTAAGTTTATTTTTAGTTAAATTTCCGTTGAATTTGCGTTGAATTTACGTCAACTTTGAGATAGGTTTGCGTTTAATTTGGGTAAGTTTTCCGTTAACTTTGAGTCTACTTTAAGTTAAGTATGCGTTGAATTTGCGTCAACTTTGAGATAGGTTTGCGTTTAATTTGGGTCAGTTTTCCGTTAACTTTGAGTCTACTTTAAGTAAAGTATGCGTTGAATTTGCGTCAACTTTGAGATAGGTTTGCGTTTAATTTGGGTCAGTTTTCCGTTAACTTTGAGTCTACTTTAAGTAAAGTTAAGTAAGTTAAGTTTGCGTTAAGTTTCGATTCATTTAACGTAAAATCCCAGGTAGCACAACGTGACGAAACCGTGACGATTTGTGTCCATTGTGTCCAATTGGACACAAATCGTCACGGTTTCGTCACGTTGTGCTACCTGGGATTTGTGATAAGTTTTTTATTTCTTAACCCAAATTAAACTTATTGCCATCAACTATATTAACATTTTACGGTTGGTTTATATTGATTAATTGATAACACGTTTTTTTATAGACTTACCTTAAGCTTTGCTACAAAACGGTTAACCACCCTCAACCGTGACAGGGACGCAGTCCATGTTTTTTTTAAGCTGGGATTTTAATGAAAACTCTATTTTAAAGTATAAAAATAATTTATTATAATACATATACACTACATATACCTCCTACATATATTACTATAATAGTAAACAAAAAATAAATTATTTAAATTGCGAAGCCAGCTCTCATGCGTTAAACTCCCAAAGGCATATCTGAAAAACAAAAAATAAAAAAATTATTATATATTTTCTTCTAAATGGTTATAATATATTTACAACTAAGAAATTAATGTAAAAATCAAAATCGACTCAAAACGAACGCAAATTCAACGCAAATCCAACGCAAAAGTTGAAGACTGAATTTTTATAAAAATTCATTTATTATCACGTTTAATAATTTATTTTTATATGGGTTTGATTCAAGCAATTAATTAAAACCAAAAATAACTTAAAAAATCTAATATATTATTGTTTTACCGACTTTTAATAAAAAATCAAAATCGACTCAAAACGAACGCAAATTCAACGCAAATCCAA